AATATTATTAAAAAGGAAGTAAACTGTAACCAACAGAGCACTCAGTATTCTGGGAAGTTTGTGTGTATTGGGAATCATATTTTTTTTCAAATAAAGCCAAGGTAACACTCATTTTACACACAGCACACAGTGAAAATGACATGAATATGACAGTGGGCAAATGGATAAAGGGCAGCATAATTTAAAATCACGAATTTAATGTTTAAAGCATTTAATTTGCACAGACAGAAAGTCACGCAGAGAACACGCGATCATGCAGGTCACATGCACACTTCACAAGATCTCAGCTGGATTCGACTAAGTTTGCAAGGTTTGTGAAATTAAAGTGCCATTTTCAAATATCGGCATCGGCCTTGGTGATATATCGGTCGACCACTAGTTATGACCATTGATTTGGCCCACCATGTCTTACCATAAGTAGGGGGAAAATAGGAAGAAACACATGCCATTGAAGCATATCTTCGTTGTAATATAATATAGTTAAAAAAATGCAAAAATGATGTGCTATAGTTAAATATAATAATACCGCCCAGCCCTACAAACCTACCTTCTGTGTTTCCCCAGATTACGTCTGCAGTGAGTTCGGAGACTCTTGTCATCCCAGTTGTCATGGAGAAGCCATGGAGGTTATGGGGGGCATTGGAGGCGTGTTTGCTGACCATGTGCGCCTGGTCCTGGGGAGTCTGCCGTGTCTCCCTGCTGGCCCTCATTCTGACCTTCCACCTGTATGGAGGCTTCATCTTGCTGGGACTCATCCTGGCCTCTGTGGCCGGCATCCTGTACAAGTTCCAGGACGTGCTGCTCTACTTTCCCGACCAGCCCTCATCCTCACGCCTTTACGTTCCAATGCCAACGGGAATCCCCCACGAGAATGTGTACATCCGCACCAAAGATGGCGTGCGGCTCAACCTCATCCTGCTCCGTTGGACCGGCGAAAACCCTGCCTCTGCTCCCACCATTTTATATTTCCACGGCAATGCAGGGAACATCGGCCACCGTGTCCCAAACGCGCTGCTCATGCTGGTCAATGTGAAGGCCAACGTGGTGCTGATGGACTACAGAGGCTACGGAAAGAGCGAAGGAGAACCTAGCGAAGAGGGACTGTACCAGGACGCCGAGGCCACCTTGGATTACGTCATGACCCGGCCGGACATCGACAAGACCAAGGTGGTTCTATTCGGCCGCTCATTGGGTGGCGCCGTGGCCATCCGTTTAGCATCGTGCAACCCACATCGAGTGGCTGCCATCATGGTGGAGAACACTTTCCTGAGCATCCCGCACATGGCGGCCACGCTGTTCTCTTTCTTCCCCATGCGTTACCTACCGCTCTGGTGCTACAAGAACAAGTTTCTGTCCTATAGATATGTTGCACTGTGCCGTATGCCATCTCTCTTCATTTCGGGCTTATCAGACCAACTCATCCCTCCGGTGATGATGAAACAGCTGTACGAGCTGTCACCGTCTCGGACTAAACGCCTCGCCATCTTTCCCGAGGGTACGCACAATGACACCTGGCAGTGCCAGGGTTATTTTGCCGCCCTAGAGCAGTTTATGAAAGAGCTTCTTAAAAGCCATGCCCGAGAAGAGACGGCCCAGGGGACGGCCAACGTCACCATAATCTAGAACAGTAACTACTGTTGACTGCTTTAAATCTGGACCCTCTCAGATAGAATGTACAATTTATTCTCTCTTTTTTTATTATTTCTCTTCTCCCCATCTTCATAAGCTCTTTCTTTCCATTGATCACACACCAAGAATTCACTAGTTACAATTTAATTTATTTAATAGAGAAGGCTGAATTTTTTAAGACTTCAGAATATTTTTTGTCAGTTTTTATATTAAGTATGAATGCATCTGCCTCAAGAATGCAATGCCCTCACAGTCCTTTTCTTTATTTGCTGACAATTTTTGCCCTCAAAAGTATACTTAAATCCCTACCACCTGCAAACGCAATTGGAAATAGTTATTTGCCTAATCACAATGGTCAGAACTACTTTCTGAGCTTGAACTGTTCAGTTTAGGCATCGGTTTTAGAGTAGTGGTTTAAAATTCACGAGTAACATCATAATGTCTGTGATTAACATTGCTTAAGACTAGGGATGCACCGAAATTAAAATTCTTGGCCGAAGCTGAACAAAATGACAGGAAAATTACAATACTATAATTTATGAATGTCGATGGAGTTGTTGCTTTTTCTCGGCTTTTATTTGGGCAGAAACACGCAGGAAGATCTCAGTGCTTCTTTTTGTTAACAACAGCATGCAGCTTTATAAATGATTCTCATTACGAATTTGGGAAGATGTTTGTTTCACGTATCACATTGTCACATGCCTTTAAAAAAAATTCACAAAAATGTTACTGAGCAACTGACGAGTAACACAGTTTTAGCGCAGATTTTCCTCGCTTTGGACTTTGAACCCTGGCGCCGCGAGCTCGTGCAGCGCTGTCAGAATACATGCAATTCGTGCGTGCATTAGAAAATATATGCGTGCATTAGAAAATATAACATTCTGCAGTTTATTTACTAATCGTTTGAGGCCATTTTGCGATTCCAATCATCGTACCGTAGCCTAACCACCAGCATCAGCCACCTCTTCTTCTCATCGGAGACGTGATGCAGCTCTAAACAGTCTCTCGCTGTCGGTTTTTAAATACGTTCACACTGCCGACATGTTTGCTGCATTAGTGTGTGCCTCTATTTGATCGCGTTAGTCATTGTTCGGTACATATTCGGCCTTTTCGCTTATTCGCATTTCATGCATTCAATCTTCTGTACCCAGCTGTAATGTTTTGGAGCTTTATTTTATCATACTGCCTTCTTCTTTTACGGAAGGTTTAAAATCGACTCAGGAAATCGGCTCATTGTGGTTTGATCCCATGTTTTGGATTTGCATATGGAGCTGTGTGTGAGAAGTATAGATTTCTATACTGATTTTCATGTGGGCTACAGTTCACTGTATGGAAATACCAACACAACAAGCCTAAAGTATGTTTACTCTCTCTCAGGCTTAGTGGTCTTCTGAAAGTTAGAGAGAAATCGCACATAGCAGCTGCTTGACAGTGTTCCAAGCACAGTCCATTTGCACAACTTGTAAATAAGATCTTTCCCTTCTTTTAATAAGGTCAAGTGCTTAACATCAGATCTTTACCAGTGACCTGCTTTGTTTGGATCATGTTGAAAAACCTGCCCATTGTTGACTTGCACTGTTACATGCATTTTCCTTTAAAAAGCAGAAACATTCACAACAATGTAAGGATTAATTAACACAAAAATGAAAATTGCTATCATTCACTCACCATTTATGCCTTTTCATACTGTATGACTTTTTTTTTCTCAGTGGAACAAAAAGGAGAAAGTTTGAAGAGTACATTAGTCACTCTTTTCCATGCAGTTGCAGGTAGAAGACTCAAGCTTCTTCAAAAGGACTCCTTAATAAAAGTCTAAGTATCTTAAAAGTTGGCCATATGACTTATATGTTGAAGTCACACAATGAAAGACAGCTGAGAAGTTTTGCTGTTCACTAAAAACTAGTGCTGGGCGGTATACCGGTTCATACCGAATACCGGTGTTTATTTTTGTTATGATATGAATTTTTAAAATACCGCAATACCGGTGTATGTCGCTTAAACAACGTTCGGAACGCGACACCGTTTGAAAGGGGTCACTTTTCACTGTTTCACTGTGGTTTTAGTGTGGTATTTTTTGACAATATTCACTCATCATGACAGTAATATAGGGCATTCTAAGTCCATATACTGCAGTATTTCCTCTCTCAATCAGTAGAAAATATGGTTAACACCCGGTCATGCATGAAGAAAAAAAATAACCGGTAACACCGTGAAACCGGTATAATTTTGAAAAATACCATGATGTAAATTTTTGGTCATACCGCCCAGCACTACTAAAAACTATTTTCCAGTGAGTTGAATCTGTCAGAATTATGAGATCTTTGTTGCAAAACAGATTCATTCAGAAGGTTCTCTCATGAACTCATGATGATTCAGTGAAGAACAAATACAATTTCAGTCTATTCCTTATAGAAAGCTATTATATGTCTATGGAAGACTTGGAATATAGACCGCAAGTCATCTTGAAAGATTCTGTCCTCATTCATCGTAGTTGAAGCACCAGCACCTTCTTTGAAATATCTCCTTTTGTGTTCCACAGAAGAAAGAAAATCATACCAGTTTGAGAAAGTAAATGCTGGCAAAATTATCATTTTTCTCAACTATTTAATGTATCGAATCAGGGGTAAGGACATGAGGTTTGTGTTTCTGTAGTCTCACATTGATGGTTGACTGTCAAGCACCCATTAAAAGTGAACGGTGGACTTTGCAAAACTGGCCCATTATGTAGTGTTGGATCCATGAACATCCAAGTCTGTAAGTATTGCATGCTTTAGATTGCTCCGCACATTTCGTTTAGCTCTGATGCATTTTTACGCTCACGTCTGTTGTAATGCGTGAAAACTGCCTGTGAATTTTAAGATGACAGATTTCAAGGCAGAGTGATCCTATGTCAGTTTGCATGCTAATATTGCTATCTTCAATCCAGAGGTTATGTCAGGCTTCCAAAGTCCACCTTTCGGGATTTGACGGGTTCTTTTGGGCCCCGTCGTTCTCAAGGGTGCTTACGAGATTGTATAGTAGCACAGCTGAGCTTTAGATGTCTTCAGTTATGTCTAGTATTATTTATGGTTATTAGTTATGTAGTGACAGGACAGTTGTAATTGAGTAAGAAGTGGAACCAGCCAATGCAAGAGAAAAAGTTCCCAAGACGTCAGCATTTGGATGGTTTCAATACATAAGATACTTTTGTACATTAGTTTATTGGCCTTTTGATTTTAAAAGAAATATTCGTAATGGTCATTATTGATTGTATAGGACTAATTCATAAGAACTGCCTCTAAACCTTATAGGAAATCATTTCTAATTAAAGTGATTTGCAATGTGACATTTAGTTGAACTCAAAGTGACGTGCCATGATACCTTATTGAATGTCTGTGTGGTTGAGTGTAAACCTTGAAACAAAGATGCTGAAATATGATAAAATAATGAAAATACTACTTAAGAGTTTACTAGATTTGACTAACACACCATTGGCATGTTCTGGCCATTCTCTGGGGCTAGTTTGTATGTTGAAATCTCATTTCATCTTGTTCATAAACTGAATATATGAAATAATATAAAGTGCTGCTCATGTTTTATATTTGCTTTTTACAGTAAATAGCAGAGCGGAAAGATTCAGTTCTGAATGTGCAAGGAGGGTTTTCTTATTCTTTCGACATTTGTGTTTTGAGCTATGGATTTTCTATTCAAATCATTTGTTCATGTACATACAATTGAAACACACTTTCTATTTTCTGTGTGGTGACATGCAATAAAGAAATCAAACCCTTCTGATAACTTGGCTGCATGAGTCTATTTGTACTTTGAAGCCGATGGTTCCTGTTTCTGGTTTTCACTGTGGAAACTCCACTTTAAAAAGAACGAAACTGATGGGTTTTTTTTGGTTTATGCTTGATTTTATACCAATAATAGCTTTCCTTTCGCTTGTCACTGTCATTTATATTCTTTCTTATGTGCTATTAATTTATGGTTAACAAGTCTATGTATGACATTTTCATTTATCTGCCATTTTATCTTTGCACATTTGACGGCAGTTTGTCGGAACAGCCACAAAGCAAGTGGTGACAAAGCAACTTTCGGTTGCAGTGCAGTGTTAAATACCGTGGGTGTGGACCGCTCGGCAGGAAAGGGACTCAAAAACCAGACTGTTAGCTGGAGAACTGTTGCAGACAGGACTTTTTTGGTGAGTGCAGTCGCTTTTGTACTAAGTTTGATCCCAGGAGTTTTCCTCTATACCACATCAACAAATATCAGCTTGAAGAGGAAGGGTAGTTATGTGTTAGAGTCTGATCCAGGATTTTTCTTAAAGAAATGTATGCTAAGAGCTTCAGAGGAATATTCATGCCATTTGAAGGTGAATTGGATTCAGCAGGCATAGCAAAAAACTCCAGACAGGCTTCTTTCTGAGTAGAAACCTCTCACTGTAAGGATGATGTTTTGAGGTGGGTTGAGATCCTTAAAGAAATGGAGCTTCTTCAGAATCTGTATATTTGCTGTTCAGGCTACATTTGTTCACTACTAACCATATTTTCTAAAAGTTTGTTTCCACCATGCCTGCTGAAGATGTTGGTCCAGGTCGGGGTGAAAGGAGAAGGTTGCCCTGGCTGTTTCTAGTGCTGGTGATTGCTGCCATCACCTCCTCTTCCCTGTCTGTGATCTCCCTGTACCATGTGCTGGCCCTGCAGGCTGAGGTGGAGGGTTTGAGAGCTGAGGTGGTCCGCAAGAGAGAGGAGCAAAGCGGGACACTAGAAGAACCCGTAAAGGGGGCAGAAAAACAAACCCATCAGCATGAAGAAGAAGAGAGCAAAGAGAGAATTGAGGTTTGGACCACAATACATGTATATCATATGTCCTTCTAAAATGTTGTGTCTTTTAAATGTGATGGAATTTGAAGGAACTGCATTAGTAGCAGTTAGTTAGTTGTCACTTGGGAAAACTGTCTGAGGAATTATATCTCAGTTAAAGGGATAGTTCACCCAAAAATGAAAATTTGATGTTTATCTGCTTACCCCCAGGGCATCCAAGATGTAGGTGACTTTGTTTCTTCAGTAGAACACAAATTATGATTTTTAAGTCCAGCCGTTGCAGTCTATCAGTCGTATAATGCATGGCAATGGTAACAAAATCTATGAGAGTAAAAAAAACATGCACAGACAAATCCGAATTAAACCCTGCGGCTCGTGACGACGCATTGATGTCCTAAGACACGAAACGATCGGTTTGTGCCAGAAACCGAACAGTATTTATATCATTTTTTAACCTCTAATACACCACTATGTCCAACTGTCTTTGGGCGTCACCACTCCCGAATGAGTTCGCGCGAGAGAACGTAATCTTTTAGTTTTAAGTCGGTTTGAACAAGCCGGATAAGCACAAGTAAGTGCCATTTTGATTAGCCGTCGTACCTACAATGACTGTGCAAACAATGAACAATGAGTGACGTATACGCGCGAGAGATCACTTCCGGCGCTTGCGTAAACTACGCCAGAACGCGTACACACCTCACGCACCGGATGCCTGTCTGGAATCGAGAGTCCTATGGCTTGTTGGAGAACGCATGTCCTCTAAACAGGAACTAATATTGTCAATATTCAGCTCAAGTCAGTTCAATAACAATGTTATAAAGTTCATCAACTGAGCTGGGTAGTAACTGATTACATGTAATCTGGATTACAGTATGTAATCAGATTTTAAAAAATCAAGTGCTCAAAATCAGATTACAGTTACTTTTTGTGGATTACATGTTTACATATTATTCACACAATGGCAGGAAATCATTCATAATTTATTGATTCTCCCTAATTCTGCTTTTAAATGGATTCCCAAATGTTATATCTCTGAGGAAGTTAATATTTCAATAATTTAACAACACATTGGCATGCTTACTGTTCCATGTCGCTTAACGGTCACATTGGCATGCAGGTAAACAAATATTTCTGTTTTTAGTGTTTAATTAATGATTAGCTTTTTATCAGACCTTGCTTTTTGCTAGAGTCATGAAAGGGTTCATTCTACTGTGAAAACACACTGTAACTTTCAGAACTCAAAACTTCATTTCCAGTCCAAAAAGATCATTTGTTATAACTGGCCTTCAATTACATGTTCTGCAACTTTGTGGCGCCACACTGACAAATTCATCAACACGTCATCCATAACATGTCAGTGATGTCTGTCCAGAAACATGCAGTGGTGAGGTAATAAGAGGAAAGCTGCAGAGATGTAGCACCTACAACTCTGCATATCCATCTGAGAAATCCCAGTGTTAAAATAGGGCACAGCATTTAATTTGAACAAAGTCCCTGATTATTTTGGTCTGATTTTACAGCCTAATCTCACAAGAAAAATTAATGAATTTACGAAGTGGCAATTTCGTATGAAATCGTACAATGTGGAATGTATGAAAATGTAAAATAAAAAAATAAAAATGAGCATAGAGACCTACTCCTTACCCAACCTCTAAACATAGCTGTCACTCGTACAAAAACGTATAATTCGCTAAAACGTAAAATACCTATGAAGTGCCATGATATTGTGTTGGATCTTAACAGTGTGAGCGGCACATGCCAGCTCAGATTGTTTTATGTTTCTATCGTAATGTTTAAACTATTATGGAAAAAAAGAGACATTTAAAATCTTGAAAATCTGACCCAACAGCAAAAATTACTTTTTATTTATTTACTTATTTTGTCAGAGTTTGCTTTGGAAATATGCACAGCCATCCCATGGCAAGTCGGACTGAAGCGTGGCACAGCTCTGGAGGAAGAGCAGGGCACCATTTTAGTCAAAGAGGAAGGATTCTTCTTTATCTATAGTCAGGTATATACATTCTCAATGTATGACACATTCTTGAGTTTTTTTGGCCTCGTTGAAACATCCCAACACCGTGCTCAGTGTTTTTTTCCTCATTATTTCAAGCTCTCCTTTTCCCAGGTTTACTACACAGACTCTACGTTCGCTATGGGCCACATCGTGATTCGTATAAAGAAGAACGTCGTCGGAGACGAGAGTCAGCACGTTGTTCTGTTCCGCTGTATTCAGAGCATGAATCGAGTCAATCACTTCAACACCTGCTACACTGGAGGTGAGTGTGGAAAGTCCTGCTACTTTATCAGTGTTACAAAAGAGTGTAATGTATCTGGACACTTTACGTGTAAATCTCATTTTCATTATTATGAATATATTTTATAATATTGGTTCTTTTAATATACAGTATGATGATGTATAAGGAGTTTTTTTTTTTTTTTTTCAAATTACATTAACAAACATTTAGGAACCTTGTGGTCCAAAAATAAGCTCCATTTCCTTTAAGCAAAATATAATTGCTTACATTCTTATTTCTTTCTTGTGGTTTTGGGTTGAAATATGACCCAGACATGTTCTTTTGTGACAAGACCACATTTGTTACCACAGAGTCAGGAAGTCCAGAAATCGCATAAGACCAGTAAATGCATGACAGATATATTCAGAAAATTCCAAATATGACATATAATTACTTTTTGCTTTCAAAGTGTGTATTTTAAATATAATGTACTGCTGTGAATACTATTAATGTGATGTAAATGTCTTATAGAGAAGTACTATGCATATATGAATAAATATATAATGTATCTGTTATTACAAATGAATGTAACCGAGCATGTGATGTGCAGGCGTAGTGAAGTTGGACTCTGGGGACAGACTGGAGCTTCTGATACCTCGAACCCATGCAAATATCTCTCTGGATGGGGATTCCACCTTCTTAGGAGCAATAAAACTGGCCTGACAATGGAGAAAGACTTTGGATCAGACACTGTATGAGATTAGATATGCTGTTATACTTATTCATAAGGATAATTATTGACATTCCCTGGACTTCATGAATACAAGAGCTGCTTTATGCTGTGGAGTATTCTTAAAAATGTCTTCATTGAATTACTTTGTATCCAGTTACTTTGGTTCACACTTCAGTGGCATTCCATCAGACATGCACAAAATTGGCATTATTTACTATATTGAAGTTCCTCTATGTCATGATTATAATGTCAGGATTCATCATAATGTTTTATCAAAATATAGTTACATGTATGCTTTAGAAATGTCTTCCCTCTTTGAAGGCCTCTTTGTTTTTCACATCTCTAACCACCTGACTCGTTCAGGTGTGTAACAACCGTCTCTCACAATCCAGTCAGTTCCTGCTGGATAAAATCATACTATTAATGTGATGTAAATGTCTTATAGAGAAGTACTATGCATATATGAATAAATATATAATGTATCTGTTATTACAAATGAATGTAACCGAGCATGTGATGTGCAGGCGTAGTGAAGTTGGACTCTGGGGACAGACTGGAGCTTCTGATACCTCGAACCCATGCAAATATCTCTCTGGATGGGGATTCCACCTTCTTAGGAGCAATAAAACTGGCCTGACAATGGAGAAAGACTTTGGATCAGACACTGTATGAGATTAGATATGCTGTTATACTTATTCATAAGGATAATTATTGACATTCCCTGGACTTCATGAATACAAGAGCTGCTTTATGCTGTGGAGTATTCTTAAAAATGTCTTCATTGAATTACTTTGTATCCAGTTACTTTGGTTCACACTTCAGTGGCATTTCATCAGACATGCACAAAATTGACATTATTTACTATATTGAAGTTCCTCTGTCATGATTATAATGTCAGGATTCATCATAATGTTTTATCAAAATATAGTTACATGTATGCTTTAGAAATGTCTTCCCTCTTTGAAGGCCTCTTTGTTTTTCACATCTCTAACCACCTGACTCGTTCAGGTGTGTAACAACCATCTTTCACAATCCAGTCAGTTCCTGATGGATAAAATCATGTCCCGCTCAGCATTTTTATTGAGCAAATTTTAAATAAACACTTTATTCATAACACATTTTACTCTAAGATGTGTTATAAACACCATTTCTTGTTGGGTTGTGAACATGCACCCACACACACTTGTATTTAATGTTTTATTATTCAGAACATCTGTTGCAGAATAACACCTCAGCATGTGCTTTGGTTTTAACAAAGTACTTTGACCTTTATAACATGATGGTGCGCTTTCATACATCAGTATGTTTAAAGTTTGCACTGATCATGTAGCCTCCATGATTCTACCAGCAGATGGAGACCGTATCACACTGGAAGAGCATTGGAAAGCACTTGCTTTGTGTTGAGTGCTTCACATAGCTTTCATAAAGACAGTTCTTTCTGTTTATTGACAGAGGTTGTATATGCTTCTGGTGTGTGATTTTGTCAGCCACATCTCATATAGAAACAATCATCATAGTGTCACAGGCCTCACAGGCCAGGAATTCTGCATGTACTGTAAACACAGCGTCTCTTAACAACAAATCATCAGCTCTGCTGCTTTGCCTTACTTCACACATGACATGTTCAAGGAGAGTGGTCTTGGATCTTGGCGGTTACATGTCCCGCCATTAGAGGGCACTTGTTTCTGGGACAGATTTTTATGGGATGCATTGTTTCATGAGCACTAGGGTAAATAAATAAATAATGAAAGAATCCTGTGTACATCATGCAAACAGTGTTTTGACTTATCATGTGCCTATTTAACAGAACAACTAAAAACTGAACTAAATAAAAAGCTGAATTTGGCTTATCATATTCCCATTTACCAGAGAAAAACTAAATTTACTTAAAAAAAAGCTGAATTTGGCTTATCATGTACCCTTTTGCCAGAGAACAACTAAAAATTTAACTAAAAAAAGCTGAATTTACTTGATCAGAAACCAAAAAAAACAAAATTCTAAATGTTATAGAAAGCCTTTAATATAGGAAAAGTAGTTATGTCTATAGATAGACAGACAGACCACTACTGCTTGCGTAGCTTTTATTTTCGAGTTATGAAATGAAATACAGTTCCTATATGTGTCTTTCAAAAAATGATGTATAAAGAATCACCTGCTGAATCTCTGAGGAAATTTTATCACACTTAAACCTTTAACGGCCTTCAACCAATTGTGCTTGCTTTGCTATTTCCAGGGCAGATCCTTTTCTTTGATTTAGACCACTCAGATGTTAGATGGTCTGTTGAGAGACATGCATAGAGTCTGGCGAAGTCTTGGTGTAATATAACCAAATCCTTGAATAGTTCACCCACAGAGAGACTACACCTCTAAGCCTGTCGCTTGGGGAGCCTGAGGAAGTGATGGGTACTTTAAGATTGTCTCTCAAGCTGAGGTATTGACTCCTCAGCAGGGAAGGAACGACCCGAGATTCAGAGATCAGATCAGTCAAACACACTTGGACTCTATTGGGAGGCTGAATGAAGATCAATGAGCAGCGTTCAGCAATGCTTCTTGCTCCTTTTCTTTTGATTATTTTTCAAAAAGGAGATCGCTCAGCTGAGACTCTGGGTTTTTAAAAGCATACTCTATTGATTTTGCTCTCAAAATGATGACTTTTCTTTTTAAAACAGACTGTCATTGTGGTAAACCTCACAGGATGTCGTGCTGATCATTTTGATGTTCATCTCTCCTGCTATTCAGCTGATCCCTGTGCATTGTAAGACTCCAAACCAAGTCTCTTTCCTCCCTCTATTACAGTGTTTCCCAACCAGTGTGTTTTTCATCCACAGCCCCATTATACACACACTACAGTCCATAGTTTTTGAAAGAAGTCACTTATGCTCACCAATGCTGCATTATTTGACCCAACATGCAGTTAAGAACAGGGATACTGTGAAATATTGTTAAAATATTGTTCAAGTTTCTATTTTAATATATAATAACATGTCCATTACTGCAGTCACATAATCCTTCAGAAATCCTTCTAATATGCTGATTTAGTGTTCAAGAAACATGTCATACATCGATGTTGAAAACAATTGTGATGCTTGTATATGTATATATATATGCATATATATGTATATGTTTGCATTATGGGACTAGGTGTTATGGATCATATTGGGATCCAATATTCAGCACCATTTAGCCGCACCATAGAACATTTGTCCTTCACTGTGAGCAGAACACAGTGAGACGCAGCAATTGTTATGCTCTGATTTAGGTTCAGCAAGAATCCAGGATCATGGCCTAATCCATGTCCGTGGTACTTGCCTCAACACCCAATAAACAGCCGTGTATATATATATATTTATATATATAATATATATATGTGTGTGTGTATGTATGTATATATATATATGTATGTATGTATATATGCATATATGTATGCATATGTATATGTGTATATATATGTATATGTATATATGCATATACAGTACATATACATATACACCATCTCCATTTACGCAACTGGAATTTAAAACAGGTTAGTGTCTTCTGCTAGCTAAAAACTTAAACTGATAAATAACAGATTGGAGATTAAAATAATTTCAGATTATGTTGTAATCTGTGAACACAGCCCTGTTTTTTTTTTCTTCATAGGTGTGTGTTGTAGGACAGTATGTGGTATATGTATCCAAAGGGAATCACTGTCAATGTGTAGTTCAGCAGTTAAATGAAAACTGTGAGTTGACTGCATGTGATGATGATGAAAGATGCATGTTAATTCAGTCCTCTAAGTAAAGTTCGGATGAACGCAGCACTCTTTTCTTTTTTCTTTTTTTGTACCATATTTCATTTGTTTTTCCTACTGATAAACGGAAAGCGAGATAAGCAGAAGGGACGTGTGAAGAGTGTGTTGAGCATGGAGAAATCATGAGGAGAGGAAGGAAAAAGTTGCAGCTTGCAAGGAAAACTCCCCGTGACCGGCATATCTCCCCCTTTCAAACCCTTTTACACATTCCCTAGTGTTTTTATCCTAGTTGTACCTTTCCCAGCACCATCCCAGAAAATTCTAGGTAGGAAAAGTCAGACAGGGGTAGGGAAGGAGAAGATGACAATGAAAGAATTGAGAAACAAGCATTTCCACACTTGCATTATTCACATTTTATCCACCTAAACACATGTACAAGTTTACTTGAGGCAGTTTTGCGGTGAGTTTTTTTTAAATGCATATGTATTCAAAAGTATTTTATCCTACAAGTCTGCCTATGAATTAATCATACGGCATGTGTTATGACAGGTCCTCTGCACAGTTTAATCCTCATAGTTTAAATATTTAAATTTGTTTAAACATTTAGTATAAACATGAAATATGAACTTTATGAGAGGTTGTGGAGAGTTTTAAGGATAAACTATTTTATGTAACTCAGTATTACTCAAAATGTATCACTATATCCAGTGTTTCTGAGGCACAAGCAGCCTACATCTTTAAAAAAAACATTTATCCACATCCTGTGTTGCAGAGGACACAGGTACATAGATGCAAATGCTTAACAATTATATTAATGATTATATATTAGCATTATTGTATTAAAACTTATATTAATTAATAGTAGTAGTAGTATTTTAATTATTTAATAATTGAATTAGTAATTCAATGTGTTATATTATATTACAGTATAATATATGCATTGTAAATCATTTTGTATAAAAGCGTCTGCTAAATGCATAATTACACGAGCTTCCACTTTGTAGCAGAATGAACTGAAATAATGCAGATATTGTGTAATATATGCAGATAAATGAATATTATTTAATAGAATACATTTTAAATATTTTACTAAATATAATATAATATCTAAAACTGCTATAAAATCAAAGCCATATATCTAACATATACAGTACGCAAGCTATGTTCCAAATTTGAAGTTGATATCATAAAAAATTAGCTTCAAGTGAGGTTTTGTTTAAAATAGCCACCAGGTGATATCTAAACTTAATTTAATACCAGTCACAAATTTATACATTTCTTTTACAATATTACTTCTATTACCTTCTGTCTACCTTTCCAACAATATATGTTTTGTCAAGATTAGAAAGAGTTTTGATTATAAAATTGTAGATAAATTTGTAATATGATATTTGACACTGCCCACTAAGGGGAGGAGCTCATTAAATGTTTAAAGTACCAATTCCATGGTAAAGCAATGTCCAATTTCACAACAGTTTTCACAGGATGAATTTTGAGTGTTTAAGCTTTTGAATGATCTCTAATTTAGGGTGATTGCTAAAATATGTGATAAGGGGGGAAAAAACTATAAAAAGAGTACTGAGCACAGTTAACAGGTTAAATTGTCCTGGAACAAAAGGGCCTTAAAGGGATAGTTTACC